ACCCAATAGGTTTGGTAATATATGGTTCAATTTGCTACACTTTGTTTTCCTGGATCTCTCGTCGCCATTATAATCAGCTACATTATTCACACAGTTTGTCTCATAAAATTACAGTGTTTATTTTGTTTTATATTTTTGGTTGAAATTCTGGGGTCAATTTTTTTTTTTTATTTCAACACCTTAAATGCTATTCAGTGCATTTTGACCCCAAAACTATATAATATAGATGAAAGTAATTAAAGAGAAAAACTGTATTTTAAAGTAAATGAAGTTTTCTCATGTTTCAGATCCATATGTTCATGCATTAACAATTCACTGCATTAAGGTAGATGTCTTCTTATGAATGGAAATATCTAGAATGCATCCATTTCATTGTCAATTATACCTTCAGTCAGTATAAAAACACTTTTACTATTGTTTTAATGCTGGAGATGTCATACAGTTATTGAACCATAATATTTTCAATCATGATTGTCACATACTTGAGGGATGATAAATCATATTTAAGACTGGTGACATAAAGTGAAAAAAATACATTTTGTGATAGGAATACTTTGAAAAGTTTTAATGCTATTTTACTTCAACACTGTGTTAAAATTGTTTTATCAAATTGATAATTTTTTAATAATATTTTTTAATAGCATTGAGTCAATTTTCCCAAAATACAGTTCTGTAGACACACAAGAACATTATTCCTTATATAACCATGGAACTATAATCACTGTTGTGCTACATCATAAAACAATAAGAATAGGCTACTAACATACATATATTTTAATATTTAGTTCTATTTTAATAATCCAGTATATAATAAATTCAATATATTTCATTTCTATCAGTGGTGCACTTTAAAAAGTAAATACTGTTCATGCCAGCATACAAAAATCTCTTCAGAACACATACAATAAAATAAGACACCACAACTGGTTCATGCTTTGTTTCTAACTTTATTTATTCCTCTCAGTATAGCCTACATGAATGCATAAGTAAGTGAGTAATGTTAGTTTGTACATTCATAAAATCTGTGTACTAGTATATCACTACATACTTATAAAGTCATGTTAATGTTCCTTTAATGGAAATACAAATCTGCTAATGTCTGTAAACAAGTGTGTCAATTCTAAAACCAAAATACCAGACAGTTCGATTGCCAATAAATAGTCCATATAATCTGGCAGTTAGTATGCACCACCTGGATGAACATGGAAATATTTTGAGCAAAAATTCATGAATAAAAGGGCTGTAATTCGTTCGCAGGCATTGTCAGATAATGAAAAAAATGGTTTTCAAACAATTTCATTTTTTTCTCGCCCTAGTAGATCTTTGAACTGGGAAGAAAAAAAAACATTCCTTCATTTTAAAGGGATTGTGATTTTTTTGCTAACTAATGTTTATATCTTGCAATATGAAATTATTTTCTGCCGTATTAGATGTGTATACAAGTCTACTTTTGAGAAGGGATAGTGGTCAGAGGAGAAAAAGCTTGAAAATGTGCATGCACATGTGATGACCCCTCCGCTTTAATATATAGGCACTGTCATCACTTGCATTTGATTGAACAACAATTGTACACAATTTACATGAAGATAGAAAAGGCTTTTCATTTATGATGGTAGCTGTCTCTATAATGGCCCATTTACTTGAGGAGGCAGTTCATATGGCAACACACTATTGCATTTGTTGCCTCATCAGTTGCCTTGCTCATATAACATAATTGCATCACCAAAATGGGTTGTAATGTTACATGAAAAAAAGTTTTAATTGCCTCGAGAATTGCCTAGTGAGAAACTGCTTTTGGTTAAAAGCTGATGTTATACTTTCATGTGTGTATTATTTTATGGAATCAAAATGTATGAATTGCAGGTCATATTTGAGAATTTCAAATTTTTTTTTGCCTTTGTTTCAATTTATTGGGAGAGCCTACAGTAATCTGTAATATTGATGAAACTTTTTTATTCCATGAGCTTTGGAACCTGATTAAAAACATCAGCAAATGAAAATCAGGCAATCAGAAGCAATTCAGATGCACTGGAAATTGTTGAAATGTGAATGTTAGGCATATATTTCCTGTAATTCTTGCATATTCATGCTATCAAATGTGCCACAAAATAGTCCAATTACACAAATAAACTTCCATGTACAATCCTAGAGTACACTCAAGAAAACACTGATAAAGCATACATATTTGTGTTATAAAAAAAAAACAATGTTACTGTATATAATGAGAAAAAATGACAAGTAAAAATATATATTACATATGACTCTGTGAAAAATAAATTCCCACGTACCAAATTGTTTTTTCTGTCATCAAATCCAGTGTTTAATCTTCATTGCTGTCCTTTGCTATGTCATGATGTGATTCTTAATTGTGTTAAATGTCTTAAAAATTCCAGATTACTGATTTATTGTTACAATTCAGTTGCTACCGGTAATAAGCTTTGCAATCCAAATGTGCATTCTGAGTATAAAATTTCAATATGAAATGATTTTTTCACTATTATTAAAGTAAATAAACTAACGAATACTTTTTATAGTACCGGTATATCCTATTTTAAATAGGATAGTATTATAGCGCTTCTAAAACAATACATGTGCTTCCAATAACTGAGCAGCCGGTAATCTGTTAAATTTTCATGTTAGAGAAGTGTTCGCTGTTCCATAATTAGAATAAAACACAATTTCAGCAAAGTCGTGCTGACTTCCAAATGAGATCTTCACAACTACAGTATTTTGTCTAAGTTTGAAATTATAGTTGCTGATAATTTATTCAAAACGCACTACATTGCCACAACATCCGACCTATTGACTATCAAAATCGTGTTCAGGTTGTTCTGCCAACGTTAGGGAACACGTACCATGCTAGAAATAGCCAATAACACGAGTTGTATTTGTGCACTGTTTCAACAAAAACTGAACACTGTACACAGATGTAGTTATAGAGGTGATGGAAATTAAATGCCCCTTTGATAGAATGCAGGATTTACAAATTATAATTAAGCTGTAAACTTTACACCAGAATAGATGTTTATCTTCAATCCATTATTTAATTATATTACATTGTTTTAGCTGGAACAATATCATCGCCAACTAGGCACCACGTACATACCAAAATCATTGGGGAAAAATTACATCAACTTGGTGATGATGTGATAAACATCACCAATTTGGGGGTATTTCTCATAATAACCTATTTTAACTGGATTTTATTTTTACAGATTCACTCAAAAAATAAATTTCTTGTAGAAATTAGTCAGCAAAATGTTCCCCTCAAAATGGAAGGTCTATATTTAAAAATGTTTAAAGGGGGGAGCATGCCTCTGGATCTCCCCAGTAAGCTTGAGCCTTCTGTGCGAGGGGTGATGAGCAGATCTTGGCCCTCCATGCAAAATGTCAAGCCGCCGCTTGATTTTCATTAAACTGCTAGAGTCATCAATCCGTCTCCCATGTAATATAATTATACAACATGGGTATAATTGGAATGTGTGACACAACAATTATAACACTCTAAGATTGCCTCTGGGCTTCAATGTACAGGTATGGTAATTACCAGGTACCATATCATCATATACATTTGAATCAATTAACAAGCAGACCCATCCCTGAATTACTTCTGAATTGAAAGTTATTACAAAAGCTATTATAAATTGTAAAGTATAGTTAGTTTTTATATTGTTGGGCTTTATGTATATTTCTGCTAATACTTGTTTGAATATAAGTTAGCAATTTTTTTGTCTATCTCAACAAATTAAGATTTCCAGTAACTGATACAGCTTAAAGACCAACACTCTCAGCTGAAATCTTGTAAGTTTAATTTGTTGTGTCAAGTGATTAGACTCACAATTGTCAGCATCATGACACTTTTCTAATTAGTTGAAATTTCTAGTTTGTACCACTGATTGTATTTGAAGTAAACGTGCTTATGTAACTGCTTTAATATGTAATGAAAGTTGACAGCGATTACAACAGTTTTGTATTTCAAAACATTTGGCTTTCGTGCGCCTACAGATTTGCATGCATAATGGCACTTACAACGACCACTCTGTTTGATTTAGTTGGTGATGAATAGACCATTTACAGGTTTTTGATTTACGGTTGTCACAATTTATTTGAAGTTATTAACGGTTCGCTTGATGACCAGCCTGCACATGTCCACATTTGCTACAACAGACTCACACAAGTTTTTCAATTTAAATATTTACCTGCCAAATCGATTGTTTGGAAGTTTTAGTGGTTATATTACAACTAGCATGAACTAGAATCATTAAAATGGCGACTTTGATAACTTACTCAGACAAAAATATCACATGATGCAGAAACCCATGAATGCAGCAATTACTGTTAGTTTGACATCACAAATTATTCCATGCTAATAAAAAAAAACATTTGTCACCAAAAAAATGTTGAACTTCTTGTTTGTCTGAATAAATGGAATGACATAATAAATAATTAATATGATGATGTCATAATGTTTTGTGATGTCATTTAATAAAAGCACACATAAACTAAAACTTGCATTTATTTTATGCTGGATCATCAAATTATTGATTTTTTAACCATAACCCCAACTCTGTCATTTACTGAAGCCATTGCAGTACCAGTGTTCTCTCCAGAAAATGAGACAGGAAAAAATTGTCTCATTTCTTTCTCTCATGACACAAATTGTCTCACAAAAATATATGACAATAAATTCATGAATGTAAAGTAAAAATAAAAAATAATAAACATTTGAGTACACACTGTCTTCACTATTAGGGGAACAAAATACTTTGTTCCTAATTGTCTCATACTTTCTAACTGATGTAACAATTTCACCAGACATATTTAATTTTTGGTGAGACGTTTTCCTCCTAACTAAAGTCCTAATAAAATGTCATTAATTATTAGACACCTTTGAGTTTACATGATTGTGTTTTTCAGTATTACTTAAATGTACCCAGCTACAGAGGGAAACATTAGTAAAAATATCTTACCTCTATTTTAACAGTGAATATTAAAAAAAATTATTCTAAGAGTTCATTTTCTGGATTAATGTCCAGTTCCACATTGCCATCTGTATTTATTTCTTTGATACAGTTTGCTTCGGTTGTAGGATTTGAGTCGTTGCTCGTAGTAGTTTTCAGATCAGCTTCATTTTCATTTTCAATGATTTCACTTGCATCGGTCATAGGATTTGAGTCATGGCTGCTTGTATTTCCTTTTTGAGCCTGGTTTTGGTTGATTTCATTTCTCTGTTCATGCTTCCTCTTTTTAAGCTTCTCAAGACTCTCGTAAAGTTTTTTTGCACTGCACAGTGGTGTCCGATGTGGCACTGTGGTGTGTAGATGCGTGTAGTTGACACAGTACGAGGTTTCTTGAATTTCTATGAGGTGATCGTGAAATCGATGTCCCCAAAGGATCTCATCAGGTAGATACGATGTTCGTTTTTGTGTCGTCATACCGGTAGATGCAACAATACCTTCCAGTATAACTAGAATTTCAAAGTCTGCGTGTTTAATTTCATCAGGTGACATTTCATATAGGGGACTACTTGAATCAATCACATGTTCTATCACCAACGGCCAAACTAATAAAATGCGATCAACACCGTACTCGTATCCCACGTTTAGATCATACTGGTATAACGGTATGTGTTCACCTTCTTCAGTTCGGCGGTGTTTCACAAATTTAGCTCTAATATGTGCTTCAAATAAGTTGCTGCGTCGCATATCGGCGAGCTGCATCATCAAGACAAGTTTGCCGTCTCGCTGAGCAATTACGGCATTCTTGCTGAACACTAAAGTCTGCGCTCGTCGCTTTGGTTTAGCAATTTTTGCAAAAACGCATCCAATCATCACAGCATCGATAACACAGCTGAATACTGATTGGAGAACGACTACTACAATACCCATCCAACATTCATCGGTGATTGAACGATACCCATAACCAATGGTTGTCTGCGTTTCAACAGAAAATAAAAAGGCAGTTTTAAAAGAGTAGACATTGCTCACACAGGGTTTCCATTCTTCGTCGTTAATGTGTTCAGGAACCAAGTCGCCATTCTGTAATGCAATCAGCCACCAAAATACGCCAAACAAAATCCATCCAATCAAATACACAAGTGTGAATATTGTAAGATTGTATCGCCACTTTATATCGACCAATGTAGTAAATATATCAGTCAGGAAGCGAAAGTTTTGTGAGGAAGAATACAAATGGAGAATATTGCAGTGTCCATTTTTTTCAACAAGTCTCTTATGACGTCTCTTCTTCCCTGTGATTGGATCCACCATTTCAATAAGGAACTCATTTTCTTTCCTTGAACCACGACGGTACATCTTTGATAAGTATTTGGCGTCTACCTGTTGATTTTTACTTGGCAGTTGGTTGTTTACTTCTAGAATTCACACTGTGGCTTGATACCTCTTGAATGGCCTTAGCGTCAGGCAGGTCTTTTCAGCAATTTACATTCTGTGTGCAAACAAAAGATAAACATAAGTATATGGGCTTCTTAAAAGGCGTGTCTGGCTATTAAAAGAAATGGCGAGGAAGTATATGTTGTAAAGTTTCTGCATCCAAAGTTTTGAGTTTATTTATTTCTATCATATATGCAAGAAAACTAAACAAAATTTGGAAAAAATTCTTGCAATGATTGGATTATAAATTTTAAAGATACATGTATGACCTTGAAGTATTTCTGGTCATGAGAAACTCATTACATCATGCATATTAAAACATTGAAGTACCACCTCCCACTTTTTGGTAAAGTACATAGTGAAGTGACTATAAAACCTTGCAATTAAAAATACTCATTTACATTTACACGTAAAAACACTTTGAAATAGTTTTTGAGTAGAAACTGAAAATTGACTCAAATTTTGTCTGCTGGCTCCAAAACTCGGGTTCATTTCCATAAATATTGAAAAATTTAGGGAAAAAAGCACAAATTTGGGCAAAAAGTTTGGTGGTGAAAACAATCTCACTGAGAATATACTTTCTTTTAAATTATCTACATCTTAAATTGGTAAAATTAGCTAAATTAGCTGAAGTAACATAGCTAAGATGTTTTACTGAATTGCACACATTTTAATGCCTGTACTTTGTATTCATGGCTCCACTGTGTTTCACCTCTGATGGTTGTATACACACAGTGGAGTTTAGATAATTTGCACTATTTTGATAAGAAATAAAGTCTGTGTAATTGGATTAACAGGCCTTGAAAGAATGAATTCCCCAGTGTGTACAGCAGTGTTTTCGTAAAACATTCCAAACAAACATAAATTTTTTAGCATTTCTGCTTGGCTTAACATCAGTATTTTGTAAACAAACAAAGAGAAATGAATTCATTAAATTTTCATTCAAACTTCCTAACTTTGATACATTGCTGCAAAAAGGACACTAGTTGATCAGATGTAAAATGTAATTTGCTTTTAATTCATTCTCAATTTTGAGAAAGGCAATATTCGTTTAACCGCACTTTCACTGTTCATTATACCAAATGACCTACGCTGCCCTTCCCATTGTATTGAAGTCTGTTCTCCTTCAGCAGATCTACACAATGAAAAGATAGGGTGATTTGAATCCATGGACATTTTTGACACCTGTATAAATAATTTGTTTCTCAGTATACTGCAGTGAAATCATGTGCGTGGTATACATTGTGTGTTTTTTCTGACTGTGATTAATGATTACAGTGCAGAGGTTATGATGATGACATTTTCAGTTCAGTTCATACAAAATAAAAATGTCCTATTCTTAGGAAATTCTTCTGTTTACTGAACCATGCATTCAACCTGGAAAGAGTTTTCAAATTAGGAACACTGATTTTTATGTTCATTAACGTTGTCCTGATGATGCAGGTACTGATTATAATTACCATATTATCAAACAACTACAGGTTGTTACCCTTTTTGAAAGGCAGTTAATTTGTCAAGTCATGAATTGGTAGTTATTGAATTGCCTTATCCCTGTACTGGTAGTTATTGACTCTGCCTATCCCTGTATTGGTAGTTATTGAATTGGTCTATCCCTGTACTGGTAGTTATTGAATTGGCCTATCCCAGTACTGGTAGTTATTGAATTGGCCTATCTCTGTACTGGTGGTTATTAAATTTGTCTATCCCTGTACTGGTAGTTATTGAATTGGTCTATCCC